TCCCTGCTCCAGGCCTGCACCCCAGCATCAGGACAGAGGGGTCACCAAGCGACCTTGTGCTGGGACCTGAGTTCACCAGGACTTCTCCAGCTGCAAGGAGCAGAGCCCCGCGATGCGCTGGGGAAGCGCACAGATGCTGGGCTATGCGTGGAATTCAGGAGCAGAATTGACACTGGGCCCAGGAAACAAACTGGAGATGGAATCATGGGGAAGCTGAACTGCCGCCTCACTGGTCCTCCTCTCTGCTTCCCTCTGTGATTTGCTTCATTTTCTCCCTTTCAGATCCACTCTTTCTGTTTCTCAGACCCCATAGCTGCAAACGAAAGTGGCCAACGACTTCCACATCGCAGTTTAGCCACCCAGAGAGAGAGATTGATTTTCCCACCAGGCCCAATTCTAAACTGCTATGTGAGGGGTTGTCGTAGATTTTGCAGGTTGCCCACCCCAGCTAATCAACTCTAGCGGGGAAGCCTGGTTGCGTTGGTACAAACATGGCGGTCTCCATGGATGGATGGATGGATGGATGGAGTATGGTGGGGCAGTTCCTAAAAAGGGGGTACTGGGAAGACCACCTAACAAAGGGCAGTCCAGCTGGGGTCTGCTGGGGCAAGCTGCAGAATGAGGGGACTGACTTAGGTGTCTCAGCTTAAGGGTTGCTTCTTTGGGACTACTTTGACAAAACCTGAGGGTGGTTGTCTCTGGGCATGTGATTAGTAAAAGTTCTGATTAACAGTCAAAGCTTCTAACTCAATAGGGAGAGGCTGTGAGGCAAAGGACGTCTCCGTAGCATCCCTGCTCTCTCTGGCTAGTGAACGCCTTAGGGAAGGATGCTCCCTCTTGTGCTCCCTTGCTTGGCACCTGCGATGCTCAGCGTTGCCTGGGGCGCTCCTGGAAGAAAGGGACACAGAGCTTCCCCTCGCAGTGGTGGAAACAGCTTGAGAGGCAGGTGGTGGGCGAGGTCTGGTGGAGGTGTGAGAAACCGGAAAGAATACAAAGGAGAGTGGCCAAGGGGCTGCACTAGACTCAAGAAAGTCCCCTTCCCCCCAAGAGCCCAGTCCTGAGAAGTTCAGGAGAGCACGGGAGGCACGCACGTTGGGAAGGGGAAGAAAGGGCAGGGAGAGGGGATCATCAGGTGGCTTGACCCCTGTGACCAGCTTTGTTCTCCACACACTGTTCCCAGTTTGCATCTCCACGTTCCAAGGGGCAAACTACTCAGCTCTGATAGGCAGCCGTTCGTTCATTCACCTTTGAACTAATAGTTATGAATTAGTGTACATATCGAGCTCTGTGCTGTAGAGAGTATTCCGGGTGGAGTCCAGAGAAGAGACAGACACATAAGCCTTAATATGATCAATCCTTTAAGGTAAGTGTGAGCCAGTGCCAGGGAGAAGGGCGGGTCCTGGCGCCCCCGGGTGAACTGGGGCAGCTTCCTGGAGGAGGAATTCTGAGCTGAGCTGTGAAGATGATCCCATAGAGTGGGGTGTAGCAGAAAAAACTCTGAACAGACCTCAAGATGCCTGGGTTTCATTCTGAGTCTGCAGCCATGGGGCCGCAGTCCCTCTCATGGTCCTGCAAGAGCAGGCTGAGTGGCTCCTTAAGTCCTGTGCCCCAGGGGCCTCTCTTAGACACACACACTCACACCTCACACCGTCCCCAGCCCTGACTCTCCCTCTGGCTATGTCACCTCAGCAAGTCACTTCACTTCCCTGGGCTCTCTTTCTCCACATCCAGGGCACTGGACCAGAGGTGACGGAAGGACACCACTCTCTCAAAGACCCTGCAATGGTTGTGCCCCACTGCATCATTTTCTCCAGCAGACATTACTGGAGAGTCCCAGCGATGTACCCAGAGAGCAGGCGAAACCCCCGCTGGAGCCGTGAGCAGACCCCAGGGTGGCATAAATATCGCCTTTTCCTTTGCGTTCTCCGCCTTTCCTGTTTACTTGTAGCTTTCAAGCCTCTCTCCTCCACTTAGCATGGAAGCTGAAGTTATTGCATTGCTGTTTCACAGCCAAGGAATTAGATTTATAACAAGGTTTATATGGGAAACAAGCTCCTTAAGTACCAGGCTGAGCCGTTCCACACTATAATCGAGGGAAAAGGAGCCTGAAAAATCATTAAACTCTGTGCCTCGGTAAAGAAAGGTGAGGCACGAGAGAACAACTATCGGTGACTCAGGCTACAAAATTCCCAGCATGCCGGGGACGGTCTGGCCCCTGCTGTCAAATAGAAAGAGGAAATAACTACTTGGAGCAATCATTAGCAGTTGGACATTTTTTAATGGCAGGTGGCTCTTGGCTCTGCTGAGCTACAATCCTTATATCTGACTGGCTACTAAACAATCCACTCGGGTGTTCCCACAAGGGCCCCAAATTCAACTTGCCCTAAACAGAACGTCCCATCCATTCCAACCCGTTGCCCTGCCATCCTCTCCACTGTGGGCCATCTAGTCTCCTAGCAGGAAACCTGGAAGTCACTAGATGGTCTAGACAACTCCCTTGCACTCATCCAGTGTGCCATCAGCCGTGGGAGCCCTGGGTCCACCACCTCGGGGTTTATGATGCGTCCTTGCCTCTCCATTTGCCTGGCCAGGCCAGTGCCCGGGTTCAGAGCCTCATCACTTCTTGCCTGGATCACACAGCAGCCTCCTTACTCATGGCCCTCTTCAGTCCAGCTCCTTTCCAGATGACCGTCTATATTGCTGCTTTATTTTTCATGTTTTTAAATGTAAATACAGCCTCTATAGGTTAGAAAGCAAACACCAGCGTCAGATTTGGAGAGAGAACACTGTCCTTGCTGCAGAGCTGCCCGTGCAGCCCACCCTGGTGCCCCGGCTCCCTCTCTCTTCATGGCTTTTGCATTCAGTATGCATTCTAGAGTCAGATTCCAGAGTTTCCCCAAACAAAGCCAGTGGGTTTTCTATTGAGATTGTATTGACTCTAGATTAATTAGGGGAGGAGTGACATCTTTGAAACATGGACTCTGTGATGCACATACATTCTCTAGGTCTTCATGCTTCTCAATAAAGACCATAGAAGTCTTGAAAGCATTTAGTTATATTTTTCCCTAAGTTTTTTGTATTTCTATGCCATCCTTTGTTTGTTGCTGTCACATTGACATGCAATTGCTTTTATATTGATTTTGGATCCAGAAACCTTTAATTTATTTGCAGAACGTACATTGCTTATTGAACAGCTTTGCCAAACATGTGCTCCTTTATTAACAGGTGTTCCACAACACTTTACAGTTCTGTGGTCAAGCTAAGAGGAAACTATCTTGGTGTCAGGGAGAGGTTAGACAACATCCAACCTGCGGAGGGGGCGCCCCGGGAGGAAAGGATGACCACCCGGCAGCAACAGGGTTTTCTGAGCCCTCTGCGTCCTCCACTGAGCTGGGTTCTAGGGGTACTGTCCTGCTCTCAGGGGGTCTCCTTATCGCCTGGTGGTTTTAGGGTTATTAATTCCCTGCCAAGTCACAGCGCTTTCTCCTCCGCCCAGCGTGATTCCACACCTTCTGCCTCACCTTTCTCCCCTCACACACATCCCTCAGATCCCTTTTTACATCTCTCGGTGCTCCCACCTGATTGCTGTGCTTTCAGTGTCTGCCTTTTCTTCTGGACTTCGGCTATCAGACCACTGGGGTCACTGAGCCCACAGGTCAGAAAGCCAGATGGTGGGAGCTCCCCATCCCTGCTTCTGGTTGACCAGTGACTGCTGGGCACACAGTGTGAACATCCGCTCCCAGGACTCCCGGGGGAACTTACACATGGAGCCCCCCAAGCGGCAGGGCACAGGGCAGGCCAGCGTCTGAGAGACAGGACAAGGAGCTGGCGTTACCAGATCCCAGGGGCTGAACCCACAGAAGGCCTGTGACAGGAGGTGAAGTCCCAGAGTGGACACAGCTGCTGCTACCAGAACAGGAAACAGAAAGCAGATGTGAGGGGTGGAGGTGAGACCCGGCAGGCAGAAAAGCAATGAAAGTTGCCCGTAGGGGACGGATGCACTTCCAGAGAAGCCTGGCTGCCCCAAGAAGAGGACTTTCTCTTCTCACTGAAAATCTCTCCCTGTTGCGAGAACACTCCTGGGGAGATGACGGGCTGCACACCCATCCCTCAGACCGTCAGTGTCACAGAAATTCGGGGCCCAATAAGCATGGCCAGCTGGGCCAGGAGGCCACGTCACATACTGCAGAGTCGCCGCCTGAGTCTCTGACATTCCCTTCAGGATCAGGCCTCTGGTGGACCTGAGTGGGCTGTGGGGCTCCTGGCCCCCTGACGGACCAAAACAGCACAGACTAGAGATAATTCTAACAAGAGTTCAAGGACAGCTCTGGAGGCCTATTAACCCTCAGAACTTGCAGCGTTCATTCTCCCCATGCCCGCATCAGCCCCTCCATGCTCCGTGGTGTAGTGTTTTATGATTGCATTTTGACTAAATAATTACCTAGTGAGGGCCCTTCAAAGCTGCTGTCCAGAGGCCCTTTTAACCCAGGCTAATCATGAAAGGATGAGGGGAGAGCCGGCCTGAGAGCTGCTCCCTGGCCTGCTCTGGAATCTGACTCTAGAATGCATACTGAATGCAAAAGCCATGAAGAGAGAGGGAGCCGGGGCACCAGGGTGGGCTGCACGGGCAGCTCTGCAGCAAGGACAGTGTTCTCTCTCCAAATCTGACGCTGGTGTTTGCTTTCTAACCTATAGAGGCTGTATTTACATTTAAAAACATGAAAAATAAAGCAGCAATATAGACGGTCATCTGGAAAGGAGCTGGACTGAAGAGGGCCATGAGTAAGGAGGCTGCTGTGTGATCCAGGCAAGAAGTGATGAGGCTCTGAACCCGGGCACTGGCCTGGCCAGGCAAATGGAGAGGCAAGGACGCATCATAAACCCCGAGGCTTTGGTGAATAGAGCCCCCTGTCAGTTTGCAACGGAGGTGTAGGAAGAGCAAGAAACAAACTTTTGTTGGGGCTGTTTGTTGTCTCAGTGAGACCTAGCCTAGCCTGACTGATACAATGCTCCTGATTACATCTATAGTTGTGTTTCTTCTTTCAGATTAAATCAAACCCAAAGCTTTAACGAAACCAAAGGAAATTATGCCACACATTAGATTCTCAAAGTTCTAAGATACAGGATCTGAGCAACAGAGGAAAAAAATAGCACTTTATGCCACTATATGGTTTTAGAAAAGAGTTCATGAAAATTGAGTTTCGGTTCCAGAATATTCTACGCAATTAGGCTGTCGTCATTCCTTTTGTAGAACATTAAGCAATTGTGTTAAACATGAAAATAACACTCAAAGGTTTTTGTTTATATTTTGTAACTGATTTTCAGTATCATTACTAGGATTTTATACAAATACTTTAGTAATCTGTATACTAGCTGTATTCCTTCACACAATTTTATTAAAATTCAATTTTTTCTCAAGGAACACGTTCCTATTTAATAATGCAAGTCAATGGAAAAATAAGATGTGACGCTCCAAAATTCGCTTTACAAGTCACTTTTAAAGGCATATATCAATTCCATATAAAAGATGCAATTATAGTTTACATATCTTCAGAAGTAATTAGATGCTACTACTATTACTAATAGCAGTACAACTACTAATACTCCATCTTACCTGCCATGGACGAGGACCAGCAAGCCCAGTTACGCTTCGGTTGGGGTACGCTGGAATCACAGGCGGAGGAGTAAGACTGCATGAGTCCCTGTTCTCTCTGCATCCTTCAGAGAAAGGCTGATGGGCAGGAACCAAGGATGGATGCGCCCATAAGGCTGGGCTCCAGCAGAGGGGTTGGGTACCAACAGCATATGAAGGAACATGACAGCAGCCTTTTCAGGGGGAGTAAACAATTTGGACTGGGGTGCCAGACAGTATGAGCTTAGGTGTCAGATATTCAGAGGAGTGTTGGCTCCTGGAGAAGTTGAGGGCACCCAGGCCAACAGAAGGTTGATAATAGGTGCAATCTTCCCATCGGGAGAGGTGAAGCCAGGAAAAGGACGCTCACCCAACAACCTGATTCATCATCTCCCTACTGCCCTTTGCTAAGCAACCGCCATATGCCGACCAAAAACTAGGTGCCCTGAACGTGCCAGCTGTTAGTTTCACTGTGACCTTTGAGACGGACGTAATTCTTCCCACTTGACACACGAGGAAAACGAGGCTCCAGGGAAGTTAGGTTACTTGTCCGAGCTTAGCTGACCTATAAATAGCAGAGCCAGGATTCAAACCCAGGTTGTGCTCTTTCCTCTGTGTTTTGCTGTCTCCTAATGTAATATCAAATAAAAATTATAAGAAAAGGGTACCAAAGAAATGCAGCTCACAGTATTTTAAAGACATATAACTTTCTTAATGATTAGCATAATGATCAAACTATGTCTTCAGGATGGACTCCCTTCCTCCAGCCAGGACACCAACAATGATGGCACCCTCTGTTGCTTGTGGCCAAAGGGTGGCATTGAAGACACTGGAGTGAGCTCTAGTGCTCGCCTGAAGTCAAGGATTTGCACTGGTTTTGGAAACACCTTATAAAATTTTGAGGGTGTGGAGATGGGGTGGGTGGGTGTGTGTGTGTGTATGTGTGTGTGTTGCAGGGAAGGACTCCCAGAATTGAGACCAGAGTGAGTAGTGTATGGCCTTGACTGCTTTGGGGCTTGAGGTAACTCCCAATCCATGGGTCACTCCAGAAAATCCATGGCTGATCAGATGGCCTTAAATATTTTGAAATGAGGGAGAGTACCCAAGACAGAGAGAGAAATCATCAGAAGCCCCTAACTGACCCATCTACCCCCAGGTTCTCAAAGACACTTGCAGGCTGTAATGATCCACAGTGTGAATTCTGAGCTCCATCCAAATTCGGAGATGCAGGCTGAGGTTCAGTGACCTCCAAAAGCTGAGCCTGTGGGCTTCAGTCAAATGGGGCATCACCCCACCCACCACAGGAAACCATTTTCTTCAGAGAGGAGCAAAGGACAGGAGCTCCAGGCATCTGTTAACTATCATCTGCTCTTCTCGCAGCCCCAGAGCTCCAGTAACATGAATAAAATAAACTGGGTCACAGACTGCTGGGATAGGGACTTTGTGTCAGGTTCCTGGGGAAAAAAAGACTGGCCTCAATGTAGCAGGATGATTTGTCATCATTTCTGGAGGCTAATTATAAGCCTGAAACCAGAACATGGCCAATTTAAAAGTCTCCTCAGAGGACAGCAAAAAGCTGACAAAAGCTAGCTTCCAGTTTAATTTTGGGTAAATGGTCTAACATGACTTGGCCTAGATTCCTTAGCTATAGAATAAGAATATCAAACGACCTGTTTGAAACTGGGCCACAATAGCATTTTGAAAGGTGCTGTATAAGCAAGGGGCTGTGGAATCTCAGGATCTCAGAAGCCTGACAAGATCGCTTGGTTGATCCCCCACCCTCAGATAAGCACGTGCTTATGCAGTCCACACGGATGAGGCGCTACCCTCATTTTGTAGTCGGTGGTCTATTTTGATAGTCAACAGCTTGTTAAGAAATTCCTCCCCATATCGCCTTCATTTCCACATGTTGCACCCCCTGAACAATCCCTTCTGTTATCCTCAGGCAACCCTGGTACTTTCCTAGGACTCGCTGTGCTGAGTCATGATGCTTCTCCTGTTGCCGCCCCAGGTAAGGGCCACGCCTCCAAGGTAGAAGGTCAACATCTCCCCTGCAGAGAAGAGACAATCCCATGATCTCTGGCAGGAAAGAAGAAGGTGGAGGGATGAGAGGCACCTCTGGCTCTCGGGACCATGATCTGTCAGGTGTAGACCTCCAAGGATCTAAACACGCTGAAAGGACTCCTAGAGGGCAGGAGTTATAAAGAGGCCTCTGTCTCATGGAGATAGTCCAGGAGCTAGGCCAAGAGGTGTCCATAGCTATATGTTACAAACCAGCCTATCGGTCGCATACTGCTAAATATGCTTCATCGTCCCCAAGACTCTACTCCAGATCCCCCTAGGATAAGCATTCCCTCCACCTTTCTCTTGGGAACTTTTGGTGGAAATTTTGAGCGGCACTATACCATAGCATTTCTTTTGTGAGACTATTTGCTATTCTCCCTATTCATCTTGCTGGCCCAAATGCTTCCTTGTCCTTCTCTAATCTCTTCATTCATGCAACAGATTTTTATTGAGCACCTACAATGTGCAAAATTTTGAGGATCTAGCTGTGAGCACAATACACCTGGTACCTGTCCTCAGGGGTTTACATTCTACAGAGATTGGACTCCCCTGTTCCTGAGACTGGGCTCTTGCTTTCTCCTCGCTGGCCCCCTTCCCAGGTTCTTCTCTGCCCTCCTGTTGGGACACTAGCCTGCTGCCCAGGTTGAAGTATCGTCTCCTGTATTCCTCTCTGTTGCCTACCGCAGGGACCTTCTGAACATATGTGTACTCTCTCTGCACGTCCAGATGCTGGGGGACTCCTAGTGAGATGATCGTGTGCTCTGCCTGCCAGCCGATGTTAGGGAGGGACACAGTTCAGGGGATAACAAAGGGCTCGGTACTCTGTGTGGGTGCTGGGCTACTTCTGGGCCAGAGATTGCCCATTTCGAGACTGGCCTGTTTCAGAACAGTCATAATTTACACGAAAGTCCACTCGGCTGTTATTAAACTGGCCAGTTGCCCACTTGCATGCCCTCAACAATGAGTCATAATTTCCAGACTTTAATGAAATAACAAATATTTTTTTAAAAAAGATTGGCACCTGAGCTGACATCGGTTGCCAATCTTCTTTCTTTTTCCTTCTTCTTCTCCCCAAAGCCCACTAGTACATAGTTATATTCTAGTTGTAGGTCGTTCTGGTTGTGGTACGTAGGACGCCACTTCAGCATGGCTTGACGAGCAGTACAAGGTCTGTGCCCAGGGTCCGAACTGGTGAAACCCTGGGCTACTGAAGTGGAGCACGTAAACTTAACCATTCAACCACAGGGCAGGACCCTGAAATAACAAATCTTGATGGAGTCCCTGATGCCATGAACGTGAGTGGTAAGATAAGGGGCCCTGGTAATAGGACTGAACGTCTGGCACACCACTGAGCCTCAGCAGTCAGTCTCGAGACTGTGGTGTAGCTTGAGTTACCTACATGGGTAGATCACGACCATCTTGCAGTCCCTCTAGCCTTTGGTGTGACGTCATCCAGCAGAGACGGGATGAGTCAAACAGAGACACAGGGTAAAACAAGGCAGCGATATTTTAGAGGCAAGAGTCTACACGTTACCCACACAGGCATTTGCCTCTCGGTCTTCTCTCCTTCCTAGCCACCTTTGACCTTGCCACTGCTGCCAGGCACGTTTCTAGAAGGGAGGAAGAGGAAAATTTTATTTTCTATGGGCACTCCTATGAAGTGTTGAGAAAAAGATGAAACTTAAAACTTGCCTAAAATCAGGGTTTAGAATGACCTCTTAATACTCCTGGTCCACGTTTTTCCAGCTGAATTTTTCTGCAGCCTTTGACTACAGCCCTCTGTGCAAACGCAGCACTAGGCAGAGGGCAGCAGTGCCCAGGCAGAAGCCTCGGGGACCCCCGGCTCAATTAGGAATATCGTATGGTGTGTGTCGGGTGTGTTCCCAGACATATCCCCCAAAATGTCATGATACAATTACTTATTAGAAGAGAAAAAAGATTGGGGAATCAAACTGCCTGGCTAGGAATGTTAATTGTTTTTCCTTCCTCTCATCTGTTCCTAAGGAAAAAGAATACTTAAAATAAATAAATAACAATCCATTACTAAAACCCCAAGCAACTATGTTTTGGAACAAGTAATGAGCCCAATAATGGTGGCATCAAACCCTGACTAGCTGGCGTTGCTTGAAGTGCCAGGCTCAAATCGCAGAGGATTTCTCTCAGGACTTCTCAAATCACATGTGCCGTGCTGTTTGCTGTTACCTCGAGGGTAACAGCATTTGCATCAGTTCTAAACAATCCCTTCCACACTGGGCCAGAGGCAGCTGATAAAGCGTGTGCCAGGGCACTGTTCGATTTTTATTTCAGAAGGACCAAATATCTAACTGAACGCTTACCCCATTGCATTCCATCGTGGAAAATCTACCTGCTGGTTTCACCACCAGCTGGAGGTTCTCAGAAGCAACTGCCACTTTCCACGTGAAATTGTTTGTCCTGATTTGATTCCCACTTAAACATCACTTGCTCATAATGCCAGTGACCGTGAAGAGACAATTGTTGCCTTCCACCCCACCTTTGGCTTAGTCACCCCAAGTGATTTGTACATGCGTAACCACTCTACTCTCATCTCAAAATAAAATAAGGACGGGAACCTGAAAGGTATTGTGATGCTGTCTGCTCGCAACCGCACCCCTTCTGGTCCTTTTTCCTTCAGTCTAATGAATTGTTCTTAGTTCTTTTCCTCCCACTCAAAAATGTTCACACTCACGTTCCTTTCACAGTTTCCAGGAGAAGCCATACTTATTTACCAGAGCAACATTCCTCCAATTTTTATTGAATTAAGTCAGAAGTGGTTCCAGGTTTAAAAACAAAGGTTTCTGGTTTTCACGGACATCAAAGGCTGAGTTCTTCACTTAATCTTAATGAGATTCTGAGTCATAGCTTCAATTTTGCTTGCTTAACTATTTGTGTTGTTTCTTACTGCTCTAAGAGTTCCTATGTCAATTAAAACAAGAGTAACCAGAAACGGCTAAGTCCGTCTAGGGGAGTGGCTGAGTAAACCAGAGGATATCCATTTGTACCAAACAGCCAATAACACTGAACAGTCGTTAAAACATGTGGCCAGGAAAATTGTTAAATTTAAAAAAAACCAAATTAGGTAACCTATTTCACTTTTGTAGGTATATAGGTGTATGTATATGTAAATGTGCTTAAAATGCACAGACAGGGCTCTGTGGAATTGCACAGAGAGCAACTGACAGTGGGAACAGCTAGGGAGCCGGTGTGGGGCGGGGAATAAAGGGAGCAAGGTTTCACTATGATTACTTCTGTGTCCCTGGGTCTATCACAAGAAGAATGTATTACTTATGGGATACATATATGTACACATACATACATACATGCATGAGTCACTATTTATATAAAAGGGAACAGTCACTTTAAATTTTGTTCCACCTCCATAATATTTGTACAGTGTTATTACTACTCCTAGAGGCTGAAAATTGTTACTACTCTTTAGCTTATGGACTTCAGAAAGCTTGTCTTTCCTCTGTTGCAATGATTCTCAATCTCAGATACGTACTAGAATCACTCAGGAGCTTTCCTACCTCAACGCCCAGGCCATATCCTGGACCAGCTAAGTCAGGACCCCGTGAGCGAGACCGGCTCCAGCATTTCATAAAGCTCCCCAGGCAATTTCGAGGTGTGACCGAAGTCGAGAACCACTGTTTCACTCTGCAAACCCCTGAAGGGTCGGGTCTACATCTGGTTTGTCTTTCTGTCCTCAAAGCACCTAAGTTAGTGGCTTACATTCATATAATGAAGAGATCTGGACCCTCCAATATTCTCAGAGAGAGAAAAAAACATAGCAACCAGAAATTGAGTAACGTGTCAGAACTGTCAAAGCACAGATTCACAGGATCCAACAGACAGCGTCATGCTCCTGTTGATGCCATCATGGCCGACTGACCCCTTGGACACGCATCTTTTTTTGGAGGAAGATTAGCCCTGAGCTAACATCTGCTGCCAATCCTCCTCTTTTTGCTGAGGAAGACTGGCCCTGAGCTAACATCTGTGCCCATCTTCCTCTACTTTATAAGTGGGGTGCCTGCCGCAGCATGGCTTGACAACCAGTGTGTAGGTCTGCACCTGGCATCTGGACCAGTGAACCCTGGGTCGCCGAAGCAGAACATGTGAACTTAACCACTGCACCACCAGGCTGGCCCATGGACACACATCTTTTGGAACACATCACACACACCTGTGCTCGGTTCCTCTTCTGTCCCTGAGAACTTGGTGCGGCGTTTCTTTGGTCAGGTGACAAGCCAGTAGAGCAAAGAGAAAGCCCTCAACCAGCTGTGCCTTTCGCTCATGTCAACAAGGAGACTGTAAAATGCACTTCTAAATTTCGAAGTTTCTAAAGCACCGTTGAGCAGAGGGCCACCTTGGGAGGACCCCTTGCCCTCCTCAGGACCACCTCCCAATTTTGATGCATTATTCCTGAGACATTTCCCAACGGTGATGGCCTTTTCCTTGGAACTCATTAATAAGTCCTCAGGAAAAAGAAAACTTGAAAATTTGAAGTTATTCAGATATATTTTGGGTTTTTTCTTGCAGATAGTGCTAAAGCCTTCTTCTCCCTGCGTAGCTGGTGCTGCTGGCTCCAGTGTCTTCATCTAAATCTTTGCAGCTTTAAATGTTATTGACCCTGGGCCTACTAGGCCTGTTAAAAAGGAGTTAGTGCTGAGGCCAGCCCCATTGCATAGTTGTTAAGCTTGGTGCACTCTACTTCCACAGCCTGGGTTCACGGATTCGGATCCCCGGCATGGACATACACCACTTGTCAGCCATGCTGTGGCGGCAACCCACATGGAAAATAGAGGAAGATTGGCACAGATGTTAGCTCAAGGCTAATCTTCCTCAGGGGGGAAAAAAAAGGCAGTTAGGGCAGATGGTCCATTTTCACTGGGCAGTACACCTGGAATTATCCACACTTGATACGGCCCTCTGAGCAGCCCATGCGGTTATATTAATTGTCTATTGATCTCTAGATGACAAGATTTCAGGTACAGAATGTATTTTGTGGACTACAGTTCCATTATAAAAATCCCTGTGCTATATTAATGAGGCACTTTCAAAAACAATTTACATAACACTGAATTTACCTTGTGTCTTTCTTTAATTGGCACAAGATGCTGCAACATTGTTCCCTTTTCGAATCTTCTTAGGTGCTATTGTTGTCTTTTTTCATCCTGTCAGGCCGTAACATCACAACAGATTTTGTGAAATTGTTACCACTTACTGAACCTCTAAAATGAATGATCCCATGTATTTTAAAAATCAAGAAAGTCCCTAAGTATTTGGAATAGTATCTGCCTTTTACATCATTTAGGAGCACATATATTTTATGACCTTATAATTCCAAACATAGGAAAAATAATGGTATTAAATCTTAATATTTTGGAGGAAAACTACATTAAATCAGCTATGCAAATTGTGATATATGAGTCAGATTATTTCCTCTGCCGCAGCGTAAAAGCTGTAAACTTTTCATCAGGATGGAAACTGAAATTGAGGAGACACTCTGATCCCTTTGGCGTGTTTCCTTCTTGGGTGACGTTTTCAGAGCCCATCTCCACCGGGCTGGTGTCTGCTCACCCAGCCACACAAACGTGTTTGTGCCTGTCCACTCCTGCACAGATTTGCATTGTTTAGTGCACGTGTTTCCTGCCTTGTTCATTCATTTGATATTTCACTCATGGTTAGAGTGGTCTCTTTCATAGTAACTGCTTATGGAAGTCTGTGCTAAAACGAAAGTCTTCCCTTTTCCTGCTGGTTCTCTCAGAGGCTCTGCCTTTCTAGGAGCCACTGTACCTCAGACTTCAGTCCACTCCGCTGTCCCTCCTCTGCTTTCCTTCACTGGCTTCAGAAATCCTGGGAGAGGCTGGACAGGAATCAGCATCAGCGTCCCAGGAGAGGAGAAGCCCCAGTGCCCGCTGATGGGTTAGGAACACAGTCAGCAACACATGCCTGGGGGGCCCCCTTCACTTCTTAGAGTCTATATCACGCTGCCTTCAGTAAAGACACCACTCAGCAAGAAGAAGCCGGCAGGGAATCGTGGCCTTGCCTCCATGGGCTCATTTAGGAGTGTCTGAACAGCCCCGATTCTCTGCCATCCTGGAAGCTCAGGCAGCTCCTCTTGCTGTGGCCCCACTTCCCCTCAAGGGAAACGAAAGGACCCAGGATGGTGATTACTCACTCCCCCGGGGCCAGGCATTTCACATACGGTACCTCTGTTCAGTCTCAGCCCTACTCTACCTTCAGAGGGAGGAACTACGGCTCAGAGAGGCTAAATACTTTCCTAAAGCCGCCTAGCCACTAAGTGGCAGATCCAGGATTCAGCCCAGATCCATTTGATTCCAAAGTCCACGTCCCTCCCTACTATCACCCCATGTCACTAAAGGGGAAAATGTAGAGAATGCGTGCCAGCCTTCAACCTGCACATTAGTGAACATTTAAAGAATAGGCAGCCCAACAAAAAGAGTCACTAGCACAATTCACAACACTTTGCATTAAACTATCTTTAATGATTTTATTACAGATCCAAAAATAAAGCTAAATCGGAAAGAGTTTTATTTTTTCAGTATTTTACATTCAATTCCCGTTTGTTTTCTTTCTTCTTCTGATGCTCAAATTTTCCCTAATCGTAATGAAGGGTAAAGAAACCAGCATTCACTCTGCCCTTTTAGGATCTGTAGTTCCTCCCCGGTTCATGAAAGAAAGGACTTCTTTACCAAAGAATGCCAGCTAACAAAGGTAGAGAAATGATAGAATGACGAAATCACCATTTTGCAACTCTCTGTGAAATAATTGGTTCAGGCAAGAACCATCAGTGAATGCTGCAGCCACCGAGTGAAAGGTTTGGGGAGATAGGATCTTTGGTCCATCACCAAAGGATCGCCTATAGATGACTTGCCAATTTCAAGGGAACAATTTACTTTTACAAAGAAAAGCTCTGGTGCTCAACAGCTCAACCAAGGGAACAAACTCAGCAGCCCTAACCGTGGCCAGCCGCAGTGTGCGCCTCCTGACGTGACGCAACAGGAAGTATTCCGCATCACCCATGAAGTGTTTTTTCCAGATATGTTTCACCTGCATTTAGACCTAACTTCCAGTGCACAGGAAATTCAACAGCTAGAGTATCAAGGTACTGACACTACAAGGAAACAATGGGACACGTGGGACATTCTACAAGACAAACTGGCCTAGTCTCTTCAGAAAATCAATACGATAATGGAAGGCAGATCAATGGTTGCCTGGGAGCAGGAGCGGATGGGGAGTGACTGCCCAGGGGCACAAACGAGCTTTTCAGGATGATAGAAATCTGTATCTGGACTGAGGTGCTGGTTACATTGGTGCATTCATCTGTCAAAACTTATGAACACTACACTTGAAATGACTGCATTTTATTATATTTACATTATGCCCTAATGTAGCTGACTTTTCAAGCAAAAACAAAATATCAGTGTCACACAAGAAAATGAGGCAACTGGGCCATATTTAAATAGAGTAAAGAGCCGCTATAAGCAGATATAATGAGAGAAACTTGGTGAGATCTGGGCTTGAGAAAAAATGAACAACTGAGAAAGATATTTTGGGGATAACCAGGGCAATTTCAACATGGAGTGGATGCTAGGTCATACTGAGGAATTTCAGCAGTTTCCTTATGGTTATGTAGGACGGTGTTCTTATTGTTAGAAGATGCTTGTTGAAATATTTAGGAGAGAAGTGTCATGATGTCTGTGACTTAATTTTCTATACCAAAAGATTTATATGAATATGCGGAAAGATAAAGCAAATATAGCAAAAAGTAATCAATGGTTGAATTCGGTAGAGGGAGTTCCTTGATATTCATTGCACTAGTCTTTCAATGATTCTGCACTTTTGACATTTTTAGTAATGAAAATGTGGAAAACAGTGAACGCCCTTTGAACGGTGATGGCTCCTGCGATTTGGAGTCAGTCTTCGGAAATTCTGGCCTCTGGGTGAGATGTCTTTTATATCAAGGAGCCACCCCTTTCCATTGCTTCTTCTGAAGGAGAAAAGACTCCCTTGGATTCCGGGGACCCTTTCATGTAGTATCTGTGACCTGGAAGGACTTTGAGCTCCTCCCACAATCCTTCACTTCTACTGGGTCACAATGTTGTTGAGAAAATACAAGCGAATGGTTCTGTTAGTCCTTGAATAAATATTTCAATAAGACTAAAAAGAAAAGATAAATTCACTCCTGGAATTTCTTCATTAGAAAGGAAAGGATAGAAAAACATAGGGTAGGAAGCTTTTTGTACTCACTTAAAGTTGGATGGAAACGTATGTAATAAGTACTTGAAGGTATGAGTTCTTTTAAAACTTCAGCTAAACGGATGTGGTTACTAGGGTTCTAGACATGGAAGGTCAGAGTTGTTTAATGAGGTGTTGTCTGTGATGGTACTTTTGCTAAGGGAGGTGATCTCTGATGATCAATTTCTCCTCCTCCCAGAAGGTCTTGCTCAAATTTCTTCTCTTACATAAAGTCTTTCCAAACTAATGCAACCCACAGTGATTACTCCCTCTGCCAGATGCCACCTGCTCTTGTCATCTGTTTCGCCCTGTCTGATCCTTAGTCACTTACTAGATTATTTAAATAGCTGGCATTTTTGCATCCTCTTCCTGGTATGTCTGTTTCTACCTGCACATATCCATCCACACCGTGAGTGCTTTGAGGGCAGAAGCCACGGCTGAGCACCTGTGTGTCCCCAGTGCCCTGCACAGGGCCTGGTCCAAAAATATTTGCTTTCTTCCTATTCCTCCTGTGGTCCAGAGCACAGGGCAAGGCACGGAGGAGTTTCTCCTTTGAAGTTTCCCTGTTGAATGGATCGAGTTACCCAGGATCAGGAAATCTGAGTGATAACATCTCTCCTCATTTGTCTATACTTCTAGACTTACTTTTTTCAGTCAGTGTTATGCTTTTGAGACACAGCTTTGGTAATGCACGCAGCTGTAGTTCAATTATTATAAACTACTTATAGCAGTCTATTATATAAATGTACCAGAAAATAAATATTTGTGGAGTGAATGGATAAGTGAGTAAATTCACCCTCACACGCAGTCCCATTTCTGACAACTGAAATTTGCCCTGAACATCAATTTTTGTTCTCTCCGTGTGATCCTTTTCCAACCACCGGCTCTAACACAACCTCTCCTCCACCCTGCCCCAGCCCCGTTCCTCCATGGGCATCTGACCCAGCACCTCGCCACTATGCTGATCCTAGGGGTTTCTTTCATTCTAAATCTAAATTACCCTTCTCTGGGAAATCTTTTGTGATTAATTAATCAGTTAGTCAATTACTTTTAGAAGTAGAAAAGATTTTTGAAGCACATGTAACTTGATACCTATGAAGTGAGATATTGCTGGCAGATGGACACTCACCTGCTGGAATATATCAGATGTGAAGGAGCCCACTGCTTCATGAGAACAGCCATTCTATTGTCAGCTTTTACTTTGAAAGCTTTTCCTTCTAGTGAGCTGAAATTCACTCCCTGTAACTTCCACCCATGGATCGTTGTTCTGCGTTCTGGAGAGACACACAAGAAACCTAAGCACGGCCCCTCCTCAAATGCCTGCAAGGTGTAAGCAGGTCCCTTTTTCCCCACCTCCCCCTACACACACCCTCACCCCAAGTTCTTCTATTTTTCAAGTCACACTTCTCTTTTCCTTTTGTCATTTCTTATTTAATACAATTTCTAGGTTCTTTTAGCAGACTGATCACTATCCTCTGAGCTCCCTCCCTTTACCAAGATGATGTATGACGTGATCTTGGGGAGTGATTCCCCTGCCCCCAGAGACGCCTTGCTACTTGCAGCATTTATAATCTGTACCCATGTCTTGTTATACTTGGTCTGGTAGCATGTTTTAGATGTAAACATACGCAAGAAACAGTGGAACACCGACTAATCTCTCTATGACCACAACTCGGACATCTTATGCTGGGGATATATATAGGGGAAGGGATAAACACTAAGAAATCCTAAAGGTTCTATGCGGAGTAGCTATGATGAAGCTCAGGCTTCTTGTTCTAGGTGGATTTGCTTGAAATAATTGATTAATTTATTCATATTTATCTATGTATCTATCTCATTTCCTCATCAGAATTGCAGGCTCATAATAGGCAGGGACTGTAGTTAATCAAACTTTAAAAGTTTTCCTTTCGGTCATCCTCTCTTAGAGCTTGCAAGTGAGAAACATATTTATTAGCAGTGATAAAAATTATTCTAGTATTTTCAAAGTGAGAGCACTCTGATCATGAAATCTATCACTGCCTTTATCACTAATTGCTAATAGAGTAGCAGCTAACGTTATTTACATTATACTGCATTCATTTATTATAATAAAATGTAGAAGCCTCAAACCGCACCTCATTTCCAGAGTGAGCCATGTGTGTGGTTTTGACGTACATATCTTTAAAGTGAAGGGAAAGGTTTTGTACCAGGACCAGTGTCATCAGATCAAACCAGACACTCTGAAAATTAATCAAGCATTCGAGACACTTGACAGAGTCAAACAATCAACTGAAAACTACTTGACATGAAAGGGTGGCTCAATTAATTTACTTTCTGGTTAGAAACATGTTTAGACAATCTGAAAGAAAAGGAACATTATCAAATATCAAGACCGATTACAAAGCTGTAGTAAGGAAAGTCTTTTTACCAAAGGATGCTAGGTCACAAAGAAAAAGGAATCTTGACCCCATTTTCACAATCTAATACGAAAATTTTTTTTCCAAATAGATTATAGATCTAACTGTGAAAGGAAAAACAAAACTTCTAGAGGAGAACATCTTCATTATCTTGAAGGAGGCCAAGCTTTCTTTAAACAGAAAAAAAAAAAAACCTCCTTCAAACTGATAAGAAAAGACAGAATATTCCATAGAAAAAAATGACCAAAAGATTTGAAGAGAAAGTTCACAAAAGAGGATATCCAACTGGCCAAGAAACGTGTGAAACACACTCAGCTTCATTAGTAATCAGGGAAACGCAAACTAACGTGATAATGGCATGCCATTCTACACCCACCAAAACAGCTAAAAGGAAAACCACCAATATTGTGAGGACAGAGAGCAACTAAAACTCCCACACACTTCTGGTGGGAGTGTAAATTTGCAAAACTATTTTGGAAAACTGAACTTAAACCAAATTGAATCTGAACATGTGTATGCTCTACAAGCCAGCGTTTGTAGCACTAGGTAGAGACTCAGCCAAAATGCACACCTACCACATTCAATGCCATCTCTATCAAATTCCCAGAAGGCTGCTTTGTGGATATCAACAAACTAGTTCTACAGTTGATATGGAGAGGCGGAAGACCCAGAACAGGCAACACAAGATTTCAGGAGAACAATATTGGAGCACTGATAGTCACCAGCTTCAAGACTCACTCTAGAGCTACCGTAATCAAAACAGTGTGATACTGGTAAAAGGAGAGGCAAATAGACTGATGAAACAGAACAGAGAATCCGGAAATAGACCCACACAAATATAGTCAACTGACCTTTGAAAAGTGAGAAAACGTAATTCAATAGAGAAAGAATAGTCTTTTGGACGAATGCTATTGGAACAACTGGACATACACATGTAAAAACAAGCTAAACGCGGACCTTATACTATTCACAAAAATTAACTCAGAATGGGGCAGGTCTGGTGGTGTTGCAGTTAGGTTTGCACACTCTGCTTCAGCAGCCCAGGGTTCACAGATTGCTATCCCGGGCACAGACCTATGCACCACTCATCAAGCCATGCTGTGGCAGGCAGCCCACATACAAAATAGAGGAAGATGGGCACAGCTGTTAGCTCAGGGCTAATCTTCCTCAGCAAAAAGAGGAGGATTGGCAGCAGATGTTAGCTCAGGGCTAATCTTCCTCAAGAAAAAAATAATAAATGAATAACTCAAAATGGATCATAGACCTAAATGTAAAATGCAAACTTATAAAACACCTAGAAAATAACACAGGAGAGAATCTAGATGACCTTGGGTTTGGCAATGACTTTTTAGTTACAACACTAGAGGCATAATCCATGAAGGAAAGACTTGCTAAGTTGAATTTCATCGACATTAAAAACTTCTGCTCTGTGAAAGACGCTATCAAGAGAATGAGAAGACAAGCCATAAACTTGCAGGAAATAATAGCAAAACACTTATCTGATAAAGGACTGATATCCAAAACACGCAAAGAACTCTTAAAACTCAACAATAAGAAAACTAAAAACTCAATTCTAAAATGGGCAAAAAATCTGAACAGACACCTCACCAAAGAAGATATACAGATGGGAAATAGACATTTGCAAACAAGATCTACATTGTAAGTCATTAGGGACTTAGTTAAAACAATGAGATATCACCGCACACTGTTAGAATGGCTGAAATCCAGACCACTGACAGCACCAAATACGGCCCAGGATGCGGAGCAACAGCAGCGCTCACTCCCTGCTGGTGGGAATGCAAAATGGTACCGCCGCTTTGGAAGACAGTTTGGTGATCTCTGATAAAACTAAACATGCTCTACCAAATGATCAGCAATTTCTCTCCTTGGTATTTACCCAAAGGAGTTGAAAACTGATGTCCACACAAAACCTGCATATGCATGTTTATAGCAGCTTTATTCATCATTGCCAAAACTTGGAAGCAACCAAGATGTCCTTCAGTAGGTGAATGGACAAACAAACCGTGTAGGACATCCAGACAATGGAATATCATCCAGCAATAAAAAGAAATGAGCTAGCAAGCCATGAAAAGACAAGGAAAAAACTTAAACGTATATCACGAAGGGAAAGAAGCCAATTTAAAAGATTACATAGTCTATGCTTCCAACTATATGATACTGTGGAAAAGGGAAAACTATAGAGACAGTAGGAAGATCAGTGGTTGGCAGGAGTTAGGAGGGAGTGAGGGACAAACAGGCAGAGCACAGGGGTTTTTAGAGCAGTTAAACTACTTTGTATATATATGTCGTCATACATTTGTTAAAACCCATAGAATGTACAACACCAAGAGTGAACCCTAATGTAAAATACGGACTCTGGTTGATAACAGTGACGTGTAAACGCAGGTTCACTGTTGTGACAACGGTAGCGCTCTGGGCAAGATGCTGGTAGTAGGGAGGTGACGTGTGTCAGGGGCAGGCAGTATAGGGCGAGTCTCGGTTTCTGCTCACCTTTGCTGTGAACCTATAACTGCTCTCAAAAACGAAGTCAATCAAAAAATTGTTTAAGTAGATGAACCTGTAAAATTTGATTTGTTTAAATCATCCAGGAAGGACAGTATCCTTACCCCAAGACTGGCTCGGAGAATCGACCTAAATTAGTTATCCTCATGTACACCTCCAAAAAGACACTATAAAATGTAGCTTGATGTGGGTGACAAATGGGAACAGATGGACCTCCTGTCCAGCCTGTGTTTAAGACGAACAATGAAGGATAAAAATGGCACCTGGCAGTGATCACAAAAGGGAAAGAATTTTGTTAAGGAAAATCTCAGGTGGAGTGGCTGATTTGACAGCTAGAACCACTGCTATGTGATTTACAATTCAGTTCTCATTCATTTCAAAATTTCTTACCATTTTGTCTTTGGTTCTTTCTCTGCGGAATGTTTGAAAATGTTCCAACACCAGCAAAGAGTTCCTTACATAATTCGAGTGGAATGCTCCTTGTGCCACTTTGAGATTTCATCCCATTGTCACTTGTCTCTGTCTTTGCTGCCTCTGGAAAGACAAACCATTCAGGGACAAGGCCCCAGGCTCAGTCAGTTCCTAAGAGGAGCACCCACATGCCTGAAGCCATCAGAGAGAGAAAATGCAGAGAGGGGCCCAGCGCTGGCCGCCAAGGCAGAGAGTTGAGTTATCAGCCTATTACCCACTTCCCTGGCAATCCCTAAGCTGGCCCTTCACGTAAATGGTAACCAACACCAGGTAAAAGGTCGCTAACATGTTGCCCATGCCCGATGGCCTCCTAAGATTCAGTAGGTATTGTCAACCAAGAGACAAAAGAGGAGCATCCTTTCTGTCCGAAGTCATTTTCTAAAACAAACGCTATAATCCTGTAGTCAACCTGCCAATCATCAATATTCATCAATAAAGCCCCATAAGAAGGAGATCGGAATACGTGCCTGGTGAGCCAACTAACAGAATCTGCCCCAAGAAGGACGCACAGGACAGAAGGCAGAGACAGCCCACCAGTCTTTTGGCTCAGTATTGCAGAAGCCCAAGGACTTGAAGGCTTCTAGAAGATTCTGTATGCAGATAAAATATTGCAGTCAGAAGCACACATGCTGTACATTTAGAATGGGGATAGGATTGGGGGAGACAAAAGATCCTCTGTGGAAGTCGGGACGTGGTGAGAATCGGGCTTTCCTTCATCCCTGGACTAGAGCAAGCGTCTCTCCAGGTGGAAGAAGCAGGGATGTAATTCCGCAGGCTGTGCCTCAGGGGAGGCCCTGACCCGTGCGGACGTGCAGATGGGCCCAGGTGATCTTCAGGAGGATGGATGGCATTCCCCAGCCTGGCCCGAGGCTCCAGACGCCTGGCAGGCCAGGCTGCCCATGGTGATGATTGTCTCAGCAGTCACTGGCGAGGACAGGTCATTGGTGACAAGATGACCCCACCATGTGACTCCCTTTTATCTCCCCTCACTTGCTGGCAAAAATCACAATGCCTGGCACATGGTAGATGTTCACTGGGTATGTTTTGAAGGAATGAAGAAAAAGAAACATTTTACAACAGTGACTTTTTGTAATGGACACTTTGCCACCATTACCTTAAACTTCTGTCTCTCATCTGCTACGTAAACACAAAATCTCTACTAATAAATACAAACTGATCCACTTACCAATTTCCTCCACCCTCCTGCGGTTTTCAAATCCTGGGCCTTGGCTGGAACTGTCTTCTAAGAGGCTCTGTCCTTACCCTTTTGTCTAAATGCACGTTAGAGCATAAACATTAGATATGAAGACAGCAGGAGTCATTCAGGAGATTGGCTCAACCACAGTAACCATGCAAGCTTATTGGGCGCGTCCCCTGTGCCAGATGGCTTGCTGTGCCCTTTATGAGCTGTCTTGTTTAACCCTTGTACAAACTGTGTGAACTAAGGATGGAGAGGCTGCGTTCTTTGATCAAGCGGTAGAGCAGGAATTCCAACCCAGATTTGTCCAACTAAATTACAATCCTAGTCCCAACATGGGCTAGTCCCTAAGCGACTGGAACCAGCGAAAAGGACCCCAGAGAAGTGGAAACTTTGGCCCCATCTCACTCCAACGGATTATGTATTCCCGTGATGACGTCCCTCCAGTCACGTTCTGGAGACCGTCTGCAAGGGGAAACAACCAGAACGGTTGTTAAAAAGCACGTCTAATGCATCAGAAGGTGTAGAATCGGAGCCCACGGATCCAAATCGAGAATTTCTGGAAACTGCCAATGGTGAAAACTTCAAATAGCTTTTCCTCAGATCTGGATGAGAATGTAGAGACAACTGCTTTCCTGATTCAGTGTCGCACCATCCAAATCATGCTTAGAGCTCTGATGGCACCAGAGACCCCCAGCCTGCGAGGTCCCTCTGCAGCTGAAGATTGCCTGGCCACTGACCCGCACGACTGAAAAAGAACAGATATTTCCTGTCCCTGATGATTCGCACCAGGGGCAACTTCACTGTCACTGACTTTTCTGAATATGAGTTATACCCGCCCTGCCCTCTCACTGTGGTTTATGTACTAAGTTTATTCTCCCTTTGTGAAGGGCGTCAACTGCCTGCTAATGCTGGTACTTGGTGCAGGCCGAGAGGAGGGCGTCTCCAAGGACTGTTTGTACCTAGTTACACACTGAGAGCTGATGAAAGACTCACCTACAATCCTTTTTATCCCTGGGATAAGAGCAGGGGTTGGGGGGAGGTGGAGCTTTCATGTAAGTTAAAAGGACACAGACAAGACGTTTTCTTGCCCTTGCCCTTCTGAGTCCAGCCTGTGTAGGTTCAGCTCAGCAGCCACACAGTGAGGAGGGGCGGGGGTGGGGTCTGTTGACATCATCGCCATCTACACTAGGAGGTGGTGGAGATGAGGAAAGTGGGAGAGTGTGCGAGTCCACACACACACATACACACACACACACACACACGCACTTTGGGGTTCCTGTTTCTGTGGCGAGCTGATGGCCTCAGTATCCATTAGCCGTTTGTGGTGCTCTTCAACATGACTTTCAGCTCTGCAGGCTAAAAGCTTTCCTCTCCTGCAATAGCCTTCACTGCAACTAGTTGTTGCTTAGCAAGAAAGGGGCCTTAGGGCTAACTACAATCAGTTTTTCTTTCCAGCTATGTTTGTGGTATATTTTGTGTCATTCTTTTTCTTACGTGTATTTGCTACTATTTTTCCAGTCATTATCAGCACCATTGAAATTCTTCCTTCGTGCAACTAAATAGCCAAAAGAGGAAATTATACTTCACAAACAGAACTAAGTCATTCAACGTTCCTCTCTGGAAGAAACACAACCACATAATAAATTCCCACCTAGTTTTAAAAAACAAAACTGCTACTATTTTTTCTCCCAGAGATAAATACTCGTAAAAGCTTTATATTGGAGGCTTTTTGACAGATCCACCACCCAATAAGGTGGCAACTCGGAGCTAGAAAAAACTATTGCTGGCATTGAATTGGTCTCCTCAGTTTTAGGCCCAGGACAGTCAATTCTGCATGACCTCAGTAAGTCAGCCGGACGTCCCCATCTGTCACGTGTGAGCCATCAACTGCTTCCTCCTACTTCTTTCAAGAGAAGTTGGGAATTTTAAAAGATAAGCATATTCCCAGGTCCATAATAAGTGTTCAAACTTCTTGGAGAAGATTTATGCAAATCAACCCCATAAAGAAAAACCTTACTTACTATCCCCTAAGAAGTTTTGTGATTTGAAACCACTAAGATGATTATTACTTTATTCCCTATTGTTTTGCTATTCTAAGTTCTTTTATCATAAATAGCAATAAATATCCAATAGAAATTCCCAAGTACTTCAGTTTTACAAAGGAAAGCCACACAAAGCAGGGCTTTTTCTCATTGAAAGCTTTTAAATTAAATTAATTGGAGTCACTAAAATAGGGTGGAAAAAACCTTTTTTAATAAGAAAATGTCAGTTTCAAGTTTCAAGTTGACATGAAAAGTTAATATCAAATACAAAGGAACATCTGGACTAACAGAAGCTTCTCATTCAAAAAACGTCCCAAAACACAAACACAACCGAGGACCAAGAGGTAACAGTACAACCTCCACCTGCCAAACAAGCCGAGCATTTCCTGCTGGAGAATCACTCAGGTTCTGCTCTCAGCCAGATAGCTCCTCTTTTAAACACCTCTTTAGAGAGAAACTGACAGTTCTCCAAGTTCATGGTCCATTTCAAGCTGCCACTTAGAAGGGTAGGGAAGGTTGCACCGCCAGACGCACCCACAGCAATGCCACTAGACTGTAAGGCTCGTGAGGGCAGGCTGCTACCCTTTTGTATCTGCAGTCAGATTGTTCAGTCTTCTCTTTTGCATCTTCTCTGTTGTGATGGCAAGTTTTATATGTCAATGTGGCTAGGCTATGGAGCCCAGTTGTTTGGTCAAACAGTAGTCTAGATGTCGCTGTGAAAGTCTTTTTTGGATGAGATTAACATTTAAAGCAGTAGACTTTGAGTAAAGCAGATTGCCCTCCATCATGTGGGTGGGCCTCATCCAATCAGTTGAAGGCCTCAAGAGCAAAACTGAGGTTCCCCAAAGAAGAAATTCTGCTCAAGACAGCAACATGGAAACCTTGCCTGAGTTCCCAGGCTTCCAACTCAGACCGAGCAGCAACTCTTACCTGGATCTCTAGACTGCTGGCTTGCCCTCCAGAGTTTGGACTTGCTGGCCCCCACTGTCACATAAACTAATTCCTTAAAATAAATCTTTCTCTCACATACAGACACATACACATACATTATATACATACATTATATGTATATATGTATAGGTAATAGATATACAATGTACATGTGAGTGTGTGTGTGTATCTCCTATTGGTTCCATTTCTCTGGAGGACCATGACTGATACACATGTTTTGTGTCACACTTAGAAAGACCTTCTCCATTCCGAGATTACTGTAACATTTTTCTCTCACAATTTCTCTTCACACTTTTTATAGTTTCTTTTTTAATAAATGTTTAGTGTTCTATCCGTTTGTTTTTTATTTTCGTGTAAGATACAAATAGGAATATAACTTTATTTTATTCCCAGATAAGGAAATGCCATTTAGATTTGTAAATCTGGCATAAATATAAAGTAATGAGACTTATTTTATTACACAGTTTGAAAACTGACTCAGAGAGCAGCTATAAAAGGAAAGTTTTTAAAACATTTTAGAGAATTCTGGCATCTTTGGAAAAAGTGTATTATTTCTCAGGAACTACTTCAAAGGGCAAAACTCTCTCAGACATAGGAGTCCTGAAGAGTTTACTAAAAAAGAAAGCCAGTAATTTAAGAGTGATGCCTCTGCTATCAAACTATGTTGCCAAAATTAAATTCCTTGAGGGGCTCCTGCCACAGGCACGGATCGGGCGGGGGCTGAGGGAGGAAGGCTGCCCACCAGCCCTTAATACCACTTTGTGCCTTGTTCCTTTGGTTTTGCACCGGAACGATGACACCCTGACTCAGACCAGCTGGAGCTCCCACACACTGTTTCACTCTGCCCTTTGCTCAATCCTAACACACCAGCGAAATGTCCTTGGGCAAAAGACGGATCGTAATCCAATGGGAAGATTATCTAATTGGGTCACACTCCTCAGGGTGCTGATTCAAGAGGTATGACTGTTCCTGGGGCGAATGCGGTTTGTTTGAAAGGCTATTTGAACATTGAGAACACTTCAACACTTTAGAACTGCCTTTCCAGCAGAGTAAAATGAAGAACCTAATTCTATAACTCTCCATAACTACACCAAAAAATATTACTCACAGGGTTCACCGTGACATCTTTGTTATTTGAATTCGAAGTAAAAATTTATCCTCCACAAGTGTGTTTGTCTCACTAAACTATTTGACAGTGTCAAATGAGTCCATATTCCAGGGGGCGAAAAAAAGACTTGAGTCAGGCGTGCTGTGAATGCGATCTATTTGAAACACCAGGAACCAGCACAGCGGTTCCCTTTGGGTACCGTGCAGGAGGAGAAAGGAGGTGCAAGCTGCGTGGATGAAGACGGAAGGATGTGAAGATGATCACTTTATGCCTTTTTATTTTATTTTATTTTATCTTATTTTTGAGAAAGATTAGCCCTGAGCTAACATCTGCTGCCAATCCTCCTCTTTTTGCTGAGGAAGACTGGCCCTGAGCTAACATCTGTGCCCATCTTCCTCTACTTTATATGTGGGACGCCTACCACAGCATGGCTTGCCAAGAGGTGCCATGTCTGCACCTGGGATCCAGGCTGGTGAACCCCAGGCTGTTGAAGTGGAACGTGTGCACTTAACCGCTGTGCCACCGGGCCAGCCCCAACCTTTTTATATTTTTAAGAAATTTCTGAATCATATGAAAATATACATATTCCAAAAAATAAAGCTTGAAAACTGTGTTATCTCAGGTATATTTGCTCTTCCCCCTCATTTGAAAGTTCTGTGAGGAGTTCCAGTGAGAGAGAGAGAGAGAGCAGGGCCTGAAGCTGGCCGTGGGGAGCTGGGAGGAGCTGTCCCTAAGGCGGAAATAGCAGAACCCCGGTGGCCGCCGTGACAAGAGGGTCAGCGATGTCACACCCTGCTTCCTTCGATGGCAGTCATGCCTGTGAAAGCATTCACGTGTTTAAACTGTTGAAATGTCAAAAGCTGCCATCACAAAAAGGACCCTTCCTTGAAGCAGGAACCTGAAGGCGTGATCCTTGTGAACACTGGGAGGGGTGGGGTGACAATTCACATCAGTCCTCTCCTTCCACAGCTGGACTATGGACCAGGGCTGTCCCTGAGAACAGGAGTAAGGACCTGCTTCAGACTACCAACCCTGCTCTAGGTTGAAAATAATATAAAACTTGCAGTATTTGAAACAATACATTAAGAAGGATACAAAAATCACAAAAACTAGAGTTTGGATATTTTTGTGTTAATAGAACTTGAACACAATTGCATTAGGCGGTGGATTGGTATATAAGTTGATAATTTTGCTTTTCAAAAAAATTAACTGGAGAGGGGCTGGCCTGGTGGCATAGTGGTTAAGTTCATGTGCTCCACTTTGGTGGCCCAGGGCTCGCAGGTTCAGATTCTGGGTGCAGACCTAACACCACTCGTCAAGCCATGCTGTGGCAGCATCCCACATAAAATAGAGGAAGATTGGCACAGATGTTATCTCAGCAACAATCTTCCTCAAGCAAAAGGAGGAAGATTAGCAACAGACGTTATCTCGGGGCCAATCTTCCTCACACACACATACACAAAATTAACTGGAGAGAATACCTCTGGAAGGTATTCTGTCTTTGTGGGAGGCAGTATGGGCTGGCAGCTAAGAGAGCAGTCTGGAGCCAGACTGCCTCGGTTGGAATTCCAAGCCTGCCTCTTCGAAGCGGGGCGACCATGGGCATTGTTTACCTTCTCTGTGCCTCACTCTTCTCATCTGTAAAATGGGGGTGATGAGAACAGGAC